AACTTGAATTGAAACTTTCTCATTTTGTATTATTCATTCAATAATATATATTATTAATACAAAACACCATACTTAATACCTATTTACTCGAGATGGTTATTTTTGTTTGACCGGACGAATCAGCACCATCCGTAACATACATAAAAACAAATTGATAGCATATGTTTTTAACATAGCATAAGTGTGTTGTATAAATACATATAATTTTTTTTTTTATGTTGAAATCAATTAGAATATGTACTGTATGAGACTATGTCATATGTTAGTTCATGTGTGTTATTTGTCCTTATATTGTGTGTTCTAAATCTTTATATAGTATATTGTATTGAACTACGTCATGTATTGTCTATTTATATATCACGTATTTTTTTTGTCCCTATATCATACACTATCCGATCATATATTATATGTATATTATATAATATAATTCATATATTATTTGTCCTATATTGTATGTTATTTTGTTCATATACAAATAAAAATAGTTTAGAAATAACTAAGACAAGATACTACTTCAAGATCTTATTATTATTCCAATGAAATTAATTATTGTCAGAAGTTGTCAATACATGAATTATTTTGTACATGTTACAGACATTCTTTTGGCCATTTTGTATTCTTCACAACTTCAAAATTATGTTTTTTTACTTTTCCGATGTTTGATTTTCGCAATTATTTTTATTTTAGGTTTATATTGAATTTTAAAATTTTCGAATCTACAAAAATTTAACATTTTTAAATTAGTTTTACTTGAATTATAAATATTTTGATATTTTATCATTTAATTATTCTTGTATTCATCTATCTCGATTGATCACTTAAAATAAGGGGGCATGATGCAGAGAATGGAATTGAATAGAAATTAATTGTGTAGATAATAAGAATTAATTCTGTTATTTGGTAAAAAATAGAGAATTCAGTCTAGAAATGTAAAAAATGCAGCTATATTAATAGATCAAAAATAAATGATTAATGGGACAAAAGAGAGTTTTAATGAGAGAGATTTCATGAAGAAATAATTTTGGTGATTTTTTTTTTTTAAAAAAAAAATTATAGATTATATATGATGTTTTTTAAAATTATATTTTTGTACAATTACAAAAAACACGTAAAAATTAAATAATTGAATAATAAATTTAATGTAAGTTTTTTGTAAATTTGAAATAATATAATTTTAAAAAATTATAAAAATTAAATAGTACAAAAATGATAAAAAAAAATTAAAAAAAAATTAATAACTGAACATCCATTTCTCTCAATTTCTCTATGGAAGAGAATTAAAATCAGATTAATGAAAATAATTTATTTTTCAACTTCCGTTTCTCTAAATCAAACCAAAAAAAAAAAAAACAATATTTTTATTTCTCTACTGTCAATAAACTCTACCAAACACAGCTTATATATTTGAAATTTGTATAGATGTTTGGTTCCTATAAAAGCTATTCCAATAAAGAAGATGGGTCACTAATAATTGAAAAGAATAATAATTCAAATCAATAGTTGTTGCCACAATGGATTGTCTATGGACTCCAAATACAATGGAAAAGGCAAATTTATTTATTTATTTATTTAATAATAAAGTTTAATTCTGTTCATTTTGATTTTCTTGCCACCAAGTGGAGTTTATGATCTTTGCTTTAATTATGGAAATGTTACGTTCAATTTATTCGATATATATAATTTTTTTCTGAAATATAATGTCACGGTTATTGTACATGTACATAAAAAATTAAAAGAAATATAATTAATAAATAATTAAAAATATATTTATAAAATTAAAATAATTAAATATATAAGATGTGAGATAGATAAAAATAAATAATACGACAGAAGAGTATAAAACAAATAAATATTGAATATTTATACTCAAAGCAGCACTTCCTTAATAATATAGACTTTAATTTTCTTATTTTATTTTTTTTAAAAAATATACATTAATATTCTCGATTTATTCAAGAGTAATACTTCTATAATTCAACATATTTACAAATACTCTCTTCTATTACACTTATCATGTCTTTTTTTTTTTTAATTTATGACCGTCTTATATTTTATTTCATTTTTTTAAAAAAAATAATTATACATTTTAACTATATTTTAAATTTTTAAATTTATAATTTTTTTTAATTTTAGTTATAGTAATCAAGTATCTTAATTTTAATTTATAATTAAATTTATTATATTAAAATTATTTTATTAATATATTTTTAATTATTTACTAATCATATTTTTACTAACTTCTCGTCTCTATAATAATTGTGACATTATATCAAATACGGAGGGAGTAATATTCAATAATTTTTATAAAAAATAAACAAATAAGGATAATTATGTTTTTCCTCAAAGTACCACTGCTTTTATACATTAAGATTTTGTTTGGTTGGGTTTGAAATTGATTTGAAATGAAATATTGATTTAAATTTTTGTTTAAATAATATTTTGATGTAAAATTTTGTGACAAAAAATACTTTCTCATTCCATCTCTAAGGTCACATTTACATATTGTGTTATTGTACTTAACATTAAAAATATTCTTATATTTGTATATATTTTTTTTTACAAATGTCATTCTATTAGTATTATAAGAAACTAATAGAAGTATTTTTTTCAATTTTTTCTTAATTTATACTATATTTTTATATAATAATTAATATTCAAATATCAACATGTAAAAAGTAAATTGAATTCTTGGAGCCGCACAGAAGTAGTAGTATATTTTTATTGAAAATTGTGTCAAATAAATAATATTGATTTTGATTTGATGTAAAATTTAAATCAAAATTCAAACTCAAAACTCAATAAAATACAAAAAGAACACACCTTAAATAGTGTTTGTATTATTTCACTAATAAAATATCTTCATTTGAACCAAATTTTAATTTTATCAAAAAAAAATATATATATTAATGTTAACATCATATAAATATTATTTTGGATTGAGACAAGTGTTGAATTTTGGTAAAGACTTTCGATACTTAAAACTCAAATTTTATTTTTTTTAAAATAATTTTTTAAAGGAAAAGATAAAATACACAAATAAACAAACATGTACATGATTTTTTCATCATGAATTAAGATAGTTGTCACAAAGCAATGGGAACAACCAAACCCTTGTCTCATGCAATGCAGACAAAATATTTACTATACTCTAATAATCCTTCAAAAAGACATTTTAAATTATACATATATATATATATATATATTTTTTCATTTTTTTTTTGTGATATTTTTTTTAAAATATTGCATTATTTTACATTTGAATTTTTTAAAGTGAGAAATAGTGAACAAATTTTATCTTCAACTATAAAAAATTAGATGTTGAAAATATTTTTTCATTTAAGGGTATGTTTGTTTGGGGGTTTGGATTTTGAGTTGGGATTTGAATAGTAAAATTTTTGAATTTGAATAGTTGTATGATGTGATATAAATAAGTGTTGATGTGATATTTTGAATGTATAATTATTTTTTAATATAATATAAAAAATAAAAAAATAGGTGTTTGATTTGATGTTTTTAAAAAGAAATATGACATTATACGTAAGACTTTGGAATATTTTTATATAATTCTACATATTTAAAATAAAAAACATATCCATCCAAAAAGACAAAATGAACAAATCCAAGATTGTTAAACTAAATATTTTCATAAAAATTACTTCATCCGTCCAGCTAGAAGGTACATGCATTTCTATTTTGGGATGTCTAATTACAAAGTAAACATTTCATTAAATATCTCACTTTTTTCTACAAATACCTTTACTTTACATCACATCATTACTTTTACACCAAAAAGCAAGGGTAAAAATATCATTTTACTACTTTTAACTACTCACTATAATTAAAATATTATTATTTTTTAAATATCTTACCTAAAGTAATTTGTATGGGACGGAGGGAGTAACATAAATATAACATAATTAAAAATTAAATTCCAATAAAAAGTATTTATATAAATCATAATTGTAAAGGAAATAAATGGAGGAATAGCACTGCTACTATTTAGACACTGTTGAGAAACTTTTGTCCCATCATTAATTGATGCATTTGCTTTTTGTATTTTTTATTGAAGCATATAACTGTTCAAATAAATATATTTTAAATATATATATATACATATATTCTAATTTAATTAATTTATTATTATTATTATTATTTTCCTCGCCACAGATTTCGTTATCACCCAATTTTTGTGTCAAGATTCTATTGGGATATAGCTCTAAATTCTTTGTGGGATGTTCAATAAATATATATATATATATATATATTAAAGATACAAAATGAAATTAATGCATATGATCATTACACAAGAATCTACACTTTCTACAGATTCAATTTTTCAGACCACTCTTTTAAAAGTTTTTGCATGGAATATTTGGAATAATATTTTTTACTCCATTTTAAAATAATAAGGTTCCACTTTTATATCTGAATTTTACAGGTTTTTTTTTTTTAACAATAAGAAAATAAATAACTAATAAGTATTTGATACCCTATATAAAAATATATATATTAAATATAATTATTATATATAAAAAAAATATACTCCCTCCGTGTCCCACGTTGAAGTTTTGGTTACTGTAAATACGGGAATTTAGGATAAGTATAATTAGTAAATAATTAAGAATATATTAGTAAAAATAATTAACTTATAATATAAATTATTATAGATTAAGATTAAGATAACTAATTAGTTTAATTAAAATTAAAAAAATTAAAATAAAATTAAAATGTATAATCATTTTTTAAAACAACAAAGTGACATTATATGTGCGACGGATAAAAACGAAGGCGGGATTGGAGTAATATTTTCAAAAATCAAATCTCCGTATCTAATATTATATATATATATATATATATTATATATAATGCCAAAATTGATAGGTAAATAAATTAAAGCATTAACTATTTCTTAGTCAGAAGCAGCAGGAATTGCAATTCCAATATTTCAACAACAACAACAATATTATAATAATAATAATAAAATCAAGAATATTCTTCCATATTGCTGGGATATTCATTACAATTGAAGCAGCAGACTAGAGAAATATTACACCAATTTTTTTTCCTACAAATCATACATATATTTTGCTTATAATTAATTAATCACAATTACCAATCTAACAAAACTAAATAACAAAAATTCACAACAAGCTTAATTACAATATATACATAAAATACCTTCGTGTATATATATATATATATATATATTTTTATTTTTTTTTCTTTTTTCTCACCAGATCTTCAAAGGGATCAAATAAAACATTAAATTATCTAGAATTAAATCCATAAGCAAGACTTATATAACATTAATTTAATTTAAATTCAGGTAGGTGGTGAGAAAATAAAATCATTATTCGTTAGGGCACCGACTTGGACCAATTTGGGCACGAGCTTATTCCCCAAATGCAAGGCCACAAGGCTCTCCAAGCCGCCGACGCACGCGCCGCCGATGTAGAGGGCGGGGGCACCTGACGCGCCTCCGCCGGAGCCGTCGCAGAGGGCGGCGACCTCGTCCTCCGCCAGCTCGATGACGGTGGGGTGGACGCCGATTGTGGCCAGGAGCCGCTTCATGACGTGGCACATGCAGCAGGACCCACGGCTGAAGATGACCACCGGATTTTCCGCGATCAGCCGCCGGATTCGCATCTCCGGCGACTCCGCCTCGCCGATCGACAGCGGAGACGCCGACGTCGGGCTCAGCTCCAGCCGGACGCCGCCGTCTCCGCCTCCATCGCGGCCGCCATCCGCGCCGCCGCCGTGCATCGCCATCGATCGGTCGGGGAGGTGAAAGTTGTGTGGGGAATTAAGAAGAGAGAATGTGGCGTGTGGGGATTATTATTATTATTATTATTATTATTGGTATTATTATTATATTAAAAGGGAACTGAATAAGTGGGCCTTCATACGTCATTTTCAAAAAAATTAGAAAAATAATAATAATAATAATAATAATAATAAATTGAATTGAATTGAATCTTTAGCATCATCACGAATTTTGTTACATAACAAAAATTGACCGGAATTTAATTTATTAATTAATTATAAATAAATAAATATATATATATATATATATATATATAGAAAAAGACAGGGAAAGCTTGTTAGTGCGATTAGCGATCGTGAGCCGTAAATAGGATGAATGTATAGGATGCGATTTGTTTTTATTTGAAATTAAAATTAAAAATTTTATTTAGGAGAAAATAATATGAGTGTGTTTGCTTTATCAAAAACAAAATAATATGATTTTCAATATATATATAATATTTATATTTTATTTTTTCATAAAAATCAACAATTTAATCCAATAGATGAATGTATAGGATGCGATTTGTTTTGATATGTGATTAAAAATTTTATTTAGGAGAAGATAATATGGGTGTTTACTTTATAAAAAAACAAAAAAATGATTTTCAATATATAATATTTATATTTTTTTATAAAAAATAAACAATTTAGTACAAAATATTATTTTTTATATTATCAACGTTATTTTGTATACTTCAAGTAAATATATATATATATATATATATTTCAAACAACAACACTAAACAAACAAATCCTATATACTTATACTCACACGAATAAGTGTAAAAAAAATAAAATTAAGTAGTGAGTAAACTAATTTTTATTCATGAATTTGAGTTCTTTATCATTTTAACGCAGTAATTAAAATTTGTATACATTTGGTCTCCAACTAAAAAAAAATTGATATATATTATCATCTGTCATCGGAATCGTCATAATGTCACTAAATAGAGTTGTCGATGCTGATTTGGCGCTGACATGACTTAAACCCTTAACGTATTAGGTGACAGATCAGTCACATCCGTTAAATCAGCACAGCAAGCCTAACTCAACAACAACAACATGGCTATTCCGATGACAAATGATCATTTTTGTCAAATTTCTACAACTGGGGATCAAATATATTAATACTTCAATTACTATGATAATATGAGTCAACGCAGACACAATCAAATTATCATGGTGTTGATTAGATTCGGTGAGCATATCACATAAAAGAAATTAACATATATTATATACTATCATAATATATTTATGATACGATATATATTATGTTATAACTCAACATATGATATCTTATAACATATCATATATGTTGTATTATGCAAAAATATATATAATGTGATTTTATATGATATGTAAACCCGATCAGTATGTGATCCGCGACCAAATTATATACATATAACGTACTAATATTTAATCTACATATAAAAAACAATGTGATAAATACATACTAGAGAGAGTATATAATATTTTGAGATATCTTATATATTTAATTTATAATTTAAATTAAATTTATTTTTCATCAAAAAAATTTTTTTGCAGATTTCAATGAAATGTATGTTAGATCTTCGATCATTTGTCTCGTTCAAAATCAAGGTTTTGGACTTTAACTGTACCATGAAGGAGTTCCTTTTACGACTCTAAATCAGTTGTGGTGAGTTTTATTTTCAATTCTAATTTCGTTGAGAGCAAATTTTATTTTTAACTTTAACTTTGTTGTCAGTAAAAATCTATTTTCAACTTAAATTCGATTGAGAATGCCTCTTTTAACTGTAATGATCCATTGGATTATTTTAGTTACATTATTTTCAATTTTCTCTTAATAAATTCAAAATATTCCTGAGACATCATTAAAATTTGGAAACTCAAACTGTTAATGCAATCTCTCACTTAAATTGAAACGGGATGTTGAGACTTTTTAGGTATTTATTATATTGTGTAAATTATATTATTTAGTTATATACGTGTTTGTTTGGGGGTTTGGATTTTGAGTTGGGATTTGAATAATAAAAATTTTGAATTTGAATAGTTGTATGATGTGATATAAATAGGTGTTGATGTGATGTTTTGAATGTAAAATTGATTTTTAGTATAATATAAAAAATGAAAAATAGGTGTTTGATTTGATGTTTTTGGGGGGAAAAAATTGGATGAATAGTAGAAATCTTATTAAATCCCCCAAACAAACACACCCTAATTAAGTTTTTTTTTAATTTAATACAAATATAATAAAATAATACTCCCTTAGTTCAAATTTTATTATCCTAAATCATATTTATACATTTTTTTAGGTAAGTACTTATTGGTTATGAATTGACAGTTTTATCTTTTATGATAAGATAGAGAAAATATGCTCAAATAAAATAGGAATAAAATTTTTGTATAAAATATAAAATAGGACAATAATTATTAAACGTTCCAAGTAAAAAAATAAAACATTAATTTATGGACGAATTAAATATAAAATTAATGTAAATAATAAATATTTAATTTGAAATATATTCAGAATATATCAACATTTCTTTGAAGTTCAAGTTATATCCCATAAACAACTCATAAATTTTGAAAAATTATGCAATATTTAAATTTTGCTTCTTTCCCACTGTTTCCCCCCTAAGTACATATTCTAAAGTTGAAAATGCAAACATAAATATACTCTCTCCGTCCCATATTTATATATCCATCTTTTTTGTACGGAGTTTTAGAAAAATTAGTATTATATTAAGATACAGTAGAAATAAAGGTAAAAATACTAAATTAACCCTATTAGTATTGTATGATATAAAGATAATGATATTTATGTAATATATTGTAAATTGGAAAGGTATTTGTAAAGTTAAATAGATAGTACAATTACCGGGAAAAAAAAATGAATATTTTGTTATAGGACAAATCAAAATAGAAAAATAGAGAGATTGTTAAGGGATGAAAGAAAATATTATTTATGATTAATAAATATTATTAAGATTTGAGTGTAATTCCAATTCCGAGGAAGATAATTAGAGTAATACTATTGTGGGAAGGCAATCTCTTGGCCTACGTAAACAATAATAAAATTTTGATTTTTTTGTATTTAATTAAAATATTACTTTCGATATTTTCTTCAAATATCAACTCATAAATACATATATATATATATACATGTATATGTATATATATATGTTTAGGGTTTGTTTTATTGTTGTTTGAAATTGATTTGAGTTTTTGTTTAAATAGTACTAACGTGATATTTTGTGGGATGAAATAATGCTCCCTCCGTTCCAGTAAAAATTTTCACATTACCGTAGACACGAGAATTTAAATAAAAAAAATATAATTAGTGAATAATTAAGTAATATACAAGTAAAAATAATCATTGTATAATACAAATAAGTATAGCTGAAAATTTAAATAACTATATCTAATTAAGATTAATATTATTATAAATTATAAAATTTGAAATATGAACAAAGTATATAATTATTTTTAAAAAAAGAAAAAATGATATGTGGAAAGAGAAAATAAAAATAAAGTAAATTAAAATGGAAAAAAAAAATCATATGATTAATTAAGGATGCATTTAGCTTGTATTTTGACTTTGTTTTTTTATATTTAAATAGTGATTAGATTAATATTTTATTTTTAAGAAAATAATATAGTTTTTTTTAAAAAAACGAATAAATTACTCCCTTCGTTCTACCATAATTGATACTATTTTTATTTTTGTCTGTTCCATCATAATTAACATATTTTTATTTTTGGTAAAAATTATTAAACCAAAACATATTTAACAAAATAACAAATATAAATCAATTTAATTAACTACATAACATACAATATAGGACCCACTCAAAACCCCTTTGTTCTACCTCTCTTCAAAAAAATAATATTTTTATTTATATTTAAAACTACACATTTTTTATAAAATTGATTTATGTTAATTATAAATAAACAAAAATATTTTTTTATTTACTTGTATTATAGAAGATTTTATTCTCTGCAAAATGATATTCATATTGCGTATATTTTTAAATTGCTATATAATTTTTAAATATTTAAACATATATTTTAATTTTTTAATTATCTATATTAAATTTACTTTAAAACTATAAATATTATTAATTATACAAAAAGTAATATAATAATATCATAACTAATTATTATTAGTTAATTCTTTAATCGAATGGTTCAATTCCGATGGGACGAATGAAGTATATACTAAAGAAATTGAATAGTGTAACCATGTCGGTTTCTTTGCATTTGATCTCAATTTTTTACTATTATATCAACTTTCACAATTTTTTATTGAAAAAAAAAATATTATATCAAAAACCTAATTTTTAAAAAAAAATAAATTCCAGCACAAAATTTAAAACAATACTCTTGCTTAATTTTATTTTATTTTCTCATTTTTCTATTTCATTATATGAATTTTCTTAACATACATGTTTGCTAATAAATTTGTTTTGTGACACAATAAATATTATATATATATATATAAATATTCCAAAGGCACTACACAATCTCTCATTCAGATTTTGACTAGGTAATAATAATAATAACAATAATAATAATTATTACTATTATAATAAAATAAATAAATAAATAAATAATAAGTGGCAGTTTGTCAATTATTTTTCTGCCACCATCATTGAATTATTTGCACTTTCTTCACTCTTTAAGTCTTTTTCCTTTTTATTATTACAATAAAGTCGAAAATAGTTCAATGTATCTTTAAGTTGTGACCATAGGAATTAGGAACACAACACACATAATAATATATATATATATATAATTCGTTTAGATAGAAGTTTTTGTAGTTTTGATACTCTAGTAAATTTTTTAAAATATTAAAAAAATAATAATATTTAATATGATATTTTATAAAAGAGAATTATTTGATGTTGTGTTAAGAAAATAAATTATTGAATAATATCAATTCTTTCAAAATGTTTATATAATCACATAATAATCGCACACAAAATAAACAGTCTAGTCTGCCGAAAGTACCTTAAATTATTGCAATAGTT